GAGTAGTCGACTATTGCGACAATCACTCAAAGATGACTAATTAAATCTGATTAGAGGCATAAATTCAGTTCTTTCCAAGTGCCTTTAGTGCATATATTTGTTCAATGTAGCCTTGTAATCCGTTGCTTTAGTGGTTTTATTGCTTTGCAAATGAAATGAAAAAATGCTGCCCGTTGATCAGCAAAATGCGGCTTGATACTGATATCCCATCAATATGGTGGATGAAAGGAGGCAATCAGTTCCGAATTTAAATGAAGTCATGCTGACGTATTTTGGTGTGTTTATAGAAAGGCCATTATACTTGCCGCATAAGTCAACAATTCGAAAATTCGATATACCATATTATCAGCGGATCTTCGCTGAACGTCTTTGGACAAAGAGTTTACTTCCAAACTGATTGTTCACAATTCGATGAATACTTTCTATTCATATATAAATAGTATTCTGCTTACAATGAAGTAGTAAACTGTGATAAATTATTATGTCTTCAACATCAACTGGAGTGTGAAAATATATATATATAGTATTCTGTCACAAATGTCTACTTGATCTGTGGGAATATGGGACAAAAATATTCCGTTGGCGCTTATTATCTTTGAAGTATGCGCTGAAGTTGCTGCCTAGTAGGGCAATGAAAGCTTCGCAAACTAACTATTCAGCTCAGAGATAACAACCAAATCAAAATCATCTACCTGAGTTACAAATCTTCTCCAACACACATTGTCTGTACCACATCATCACAATACTGAACTGTTATTTCGCCTTCTTCAAAACGACTTTCTTTGCTAGTGAAGCCTAACTCACTAAATGTATTTATCCTCTGTTTGATGTATAATAATGGATTTCTTGTGGCTGAACATTACCTGGTGTATTTGCTTTATTTTTGTACTCGTTACTGTTGAACAGCGTTCGTTCTTATCCCTTTATTCGTGTCTGGCTTTCGTGTGCTGTTCGTCTAACACGTGGATCACCTTTGACACAGGTCTGCTTTATTGACTTACTGACACGTACTGACTCTGCCCTTTGACGGTGTTCAGCGAAACACACCTCACAATTGAGGTTTGCATATTATATTTGATGGATAATATAGTGCAGTACTATCAGGCAAATCTTGTGTTTTTTTTTGATTTTACGCGTCACATAACGTGTGGTTTTATTAATACACCCACATGCTTCGTGTGTGAAAACATCACTTAAGTTGACACGAAATAGCTCAGAGGAATACTGGCAAATGATCTCTTCGAATCGAGACGAATGACCAACATAAATCAAGCACTTAGTGTGTTTGAGTGTTCATCACATAGACGAGGGGAATACAGTCAGTAGAAGTGTCACCTAGGTTAACAAGAATTCACCAAACAAAGCACGTTTATATCCACAATTATATAGCGAATTGAAACCACAAACTGATCGTCAACTGTCGCTGCCATTTCACTCCAACTGCATCTGATGAGCTGCACATTCTACTAGGTCACAAAAAATGAATGAGATGGAGCATTTATGAGCAAGACAATCATCAATGCACAGGTGACTGCTTACGTGTGCCTCCTTGTTGATAGGTGACTGATCATTTGCTAGTGATGCTGGATTTGTTTGTTGTGCATGATATTGATTGGACTGAATATTTCTCCATAAAATTAAGCTGCTCACTAGTTTCGCCCTTTCTTTGGTCACCGTATATGTTTGGAATTTCAGCATATAGTGTATCGGTTTCTGAGTGTCAGTTTCTCCATTTGAGATCTAATGTGCCGCCAGTGTCTTGATTCGGTAGTTGTATGAGTAAATCTCTCTGATTACATTAGTGATTCTTTGACTAATCGCGGCAGTTTGCTTTGATTGCAGTGGATGAGCTCGTGAGTGTGCTTCCATTTGCTGATCAGAATTTCTGTGTGTTTACACAATGGCAAACGTGAGCGATTCCATTTACTGAGTGGTGAATTTTCTGTTACATGACGTGGATTATTGTTCATTGAGCTCGTGTATATTGTTAATCAGCCAGCAGTATGCCACATTCCCTCCCTACAACTCAGAGTCGTTGACTCAGTTATTCAAACACTTGAAACATGCGGTTCATATATGCTTATCATTTCCCAACCCTGGGCGATATGTTTGACTGACTCGAAAATATGATCTTGTTCGGACACACCAACTCTATTCGAACTAGATTGTGTCATCCGAATCATCATGTTTATCCCTTAAGTAAAAATGATTCTGTTCACTTAATAAAATATAGAGATTTTGTTATCATTTATTAGGTCGGCGTGATTGTCCGAGTCAATTAGAACATCAGAGACTGTCGGTCTACATGAGTGTACTGTACTCTACTTGGATAAAATAACCACGAAAATGCCCAAATACTAGGCTTATGTATAGATTTTTTTCTCCGTCATGACCATCGCTCACATACTTCTCTAATCACCAAACCCGCCACCATAACCTTGTATTGCCTAAGAAACCCACTAATAATCTGTTGGATTCTGTCCAGAGAGAAAACTGACACAGTAAAATTGAAGAGCATTTGACGCACAAGTGGAATTTCCTTGGCTTAATATCTTCTTTCTCTTTCTATTCACATTCTACGATCACATGTCCTTGTTAGAAAAGGAACAGTGATCATTGTTCTTATTGTTTCCGTTGGTTGCTAGTGGAACATGCGGCTACCATCCATCATGTAATCAGCCGTCTTCACGAATTCCCATAAGCTCTGATCTCAAACGAACAAGATTCTTTTCATTTCTTCCTCTCACACATACCCGCCTAACTATTGGTTTTGCATCCGGAGTCCACAAGAGGTCAGGGCAGGAGTTGTTAGCCAAAGGTCCCCTCAGCTTATGTCCAATCCATCTTGATAATCATCATATTTGTTGGTCGACAGGTTCTTGGTTGGTTCGTTCTCATAGATTTCCGTTCCTAATTTCTCACGCCTGACTATCCGATCTTCAGTATGGAGCTAGCAAATGCAACTGTTGACAAAAGTCAACAGCAGTATGCTTTCCGTGACCATGCTTCTCACCCACACAGGGGAAATGACTGAATTAACACTGCTATCAGGAATGTGAATTTTTCTGTTTGAGCTGCTGAGCGGAGACGACTCCGGAAGTGATTTCACAGTGATGATGTTCTGCCTTGCCTTTTCGATTATAGCTAACTTTGGTATTTTCATTCGTGCCATCCCTTACGGTTGAAGTGATGTTGGCTAGATAAGATCTCATTGAGATTTCTGCCATCGGGGTTAATTGGTACTTGTTACCGTTGTTGATTGCTTGTCCTTATCATCTATATTTTATCTGGGTTCAGTTTAAGTCCTGCCTTCACTGCTTTTGTCGACAACTCGTTCGTCTCTTCCTGTTTTGTCTTATACTGGGCATAGATTGTCTGCAAAATCCAGATCCTTTAGAGTCTTCTTGCAGATACAAAATTGGTGATCACTCGACATGTGCCACAGTCATGCAGTTGTTCAATGAGTTTGATAAATGTTTCGTGCTTTTCATTCCTTAGTGTTGAAGAAATTTCCAAATTACTTCATGGTCAATGCTGCTGCGGGGTCTTCAAAGTCGATAAATTTCAGGTAGTGAATTGAGCGTTATGTTTTATGTCTTGTTCAACTTTGATGCGTGGAGTCTCAATTGAATGTGAACTTGATTGCTCGTCACCCATTCAGATTGTTGTTTGTAAAGGGCAGCATCCATAGAATCTGTTATTCCATGAATCCTGGCACCACGCCTTATAGTTTATTCGCACGGTTCTTTAACTTTCTCCTTTGCTTTTACGCATCTAATATTTTACCTAATCACATAACATAGTTTAAAAACGGCAATTCGAAAACATGAATGTGCATGTGACCGACGAATATGCGTACTCGAGATGATGTTTATCCTTCGCTAACCTGTTGATCGATCTAACATACAGCAGGTATGAGTACACAACCTACTCAGTATGAAAGACACTGAAGCCAAAATATATGAATCAATAATCGAACTGCTGTTCATATAGGTATAGTTAATATTCGTTCACCAATCATTGAGCGTGTGATTTCCTATTTGAGAGGGTTGCATCAGTTCTAGGCAGTTAGAAATCGACAAATTCATCGAAATAGAAGGATAACTAGGATTTGACTAACTTGATTGGCGAACAAAGAAAGACAGCAGTTGATGTCATGATGCAGACTCATGTGAAGACTATGTTTTACCGAACCCGTCACACATGTTAAATGTGAATGCCCTAGCAGATACAGGCGGTAGCGTGCATTCACCACATTTGTAGTTTTTCCATCGAACGCAGATTGCATGAAGTTGCGGAAGATCGTCATGTTGGATTCTGGAAATGGAATGCCTAATCATGCTCAAATTGTCGAGTAATTTGGCTGAACCTTTTCTTACATACATCTCCAAAACACACATATGTCACATGTTCATAATAAACGCTAGTCATGCATAAGTTGTTTGACCAGCATAGAAATATCATCTTATTCGAATACACCGAATGATGACATCCGATGAGTCTGTTGTGAAAACGTAGGCGGACATAGTAATTTTGTCATTCTTAAAATCAAATATCAGATGTCTTTGTTCGTGCATGCGCATGAATGCGTACGATGCGGTCACAAAATCACATGAACCTGCAATATGTATTGCATAGAAGATCATGCTGGGTATACTCGCAAAGAGAGTGAGCACGAATTCAGTATCACAAGCAACGCCAAGATAATGAAGTCAGACTGCCATTAACACTCGCAAAGGCACAATCAGTCACTCATAATACCACACTTCTAAGCACAGACGACAACACGTTGTGAGCGCGAACAAGTGGGCATAACAACGAAGTCATGTAGACTCCACGCAATTGACTAATGAAAATGAAATCGAAAACAACGACACGGAATGTAACTTGCATTTATAAGGCTTTTAATAATGATATAATGAAGGCAATATGAGCACACATGTTATTTCAATCCATCAATCTCCTGCACACAATCGATTGAACCTCCACACAACACTTATCTATACCGTCTTTGTATTATTTTTGTCAACAGTCGTCACGTTCACATTCTTCACCTGCTTAGCGTCCACAATCGCCTTTTCAGTTTCGTTGGCCTTCTTCACCTTCGCAGATTTAGCGGCCTTCTTCGCCTCCTTCTTCTCCTGTTTCTCCTTCTTCTCCTCCTGTTTCTTCTGCTTCTTCTTCTTGTCATCCTTGTCGTCATCATCGTCCTTCTCATACTTATCATCATCGTCCTTGTCATCATCATCATCATCGCAATCGTCCTTCTTGTCTTTCACGCTCTTCTTACCCTTCCCTTCTTTCGTCTTACTCTTATCCTTCACTTCGGTTGCATTCGTCCCATGTGATGTCTCGTTCACAGTCTTCACACCATCAATGCCTTTCACATGCACCTTCTCAGCATTCTCTTCTTTCACCTTCACTGCATCTTTCTCACTCGTGATGTTTGTCTTCGCAAGAGGCTTCTCAGCAGTTTTGTTTCCATCGGTGGATTTCACAGACACTGGAAATGGAGAGAGAAATTTCACGATAAATACAAGTACATGCCTTCGATAGAGATCGCGATAAATATACAAATTGATTGAGGATTGAAATGAGGACTGTAGAAGGAATATTGAATTCTTCTGAAATAGGCTCACCAAATAATCGCTGGTAATATATGTTTTTATATTCTCTGAGTGTTGCTAACGCTGGGTTTATTCTCAACGACTCTGACAAGGATCTACATGTGAATTATTTTTCTACTATGGGAGATTTCAAAATGTTTCAATGAAATTATGGTCTCTCAAATAATCGGAAATTATATCCTGTTCTACATGAAACATCGTTCGCCATTTTCAATTATCACTGTCCTCATGAACCGTGAATGCACCACCACTAGTTAACCTTACATCAGACAACTGTAGTTTGTGAGCAGTTATGTCGCCCTCTCTTACAATAAATCAACCATTAATTTGACGACTCCATTAGTGGATTTTTGAGAAATTATTGACATGTGAGAATTTGGTGAGACACTAGTAACTGGAGTGACGTGTGCAATCGAAATACTAACAGGCGGTCAATGTCGAGTGTGAATAGCTCAGTAGTAACATCTCTGACTGCGGCACTGGGTGACATGCTTTCGAGTCTCAGAAAGGACACAAGCTGCTTCAAGCCTGCGGATACGCTTTGCTGACGAGTGCCAACTTGCTCGAACACTAGGTCGATGGCTTCCTGCTGATTGCCTCCATCTATCTAATACTGACATGTGAGTCAGGCATCTTTCAGAAAAACGTGGTGTATCATATTGTGAACAATAATCCTTTTCATGAATACAAGTGTGTGTTGAAAGTCGATATTTATATGATGAGCATATTTGCATTGGAGATGATTTCAGTGTCTGATCCTACTCGGAATCGTAGTTGAATTAGATATGCGCGTGCTATAATCAACTGATAAACAAGACGTGGTGTTATCTGTGTAAATTCATGGATTACATGTTCAAATGTTGACTCTTCTTCTTCGAAGCCAACTCCTAATCAGTTCAATCAGGGAAGGCTAAAGTTCTGATACATTAAGTAGATATCACCTACACCACTGATTTGTTTCTCCTTCCCAAAGTCGAGTTACCATAGTCATTATACCACAATCCTGACAGCTATATACAACGAATGACTGTGATGAGCAATATGAAGTGATTCAACCACACCGGTTAGCTTCATCAATGTAATGCAATTGTCAAACGTCAACTTGAAGCACTACCCATCCGAGATGATTTCCGCCTCCATGTAAAATAAGCACTGGTGACTTATATTCATTAGTGCAGTTATGAGAATTGGGGTATAAGTCAGAGCCATCAGAAGCGCCCATCATTCAAGACATGATGACAGTGCCCACTGAAACACGAAGTTTATTCTTTTCGAACAAACATTCATTTCAGAATGAAGAAACTAGTATTTTATTGGTCACGAAACATACTCACATTGATGTGTCGTGGTGAAAATTATTCCTGCAATATCATCAGATCATTTTGCAATTAGAATCCAATGGGAGTGAGATGAGTAAACAGATTTGAGACTGGTCTCCTCAGTTTCATGATCAATTATCCAATAATTGTCTCACTGCAGTCAACATGTTTCGACCCCAGTGGAGTGTGAGGAATGATGTGAATGTTACAAAAATGAACAAAACAACCAAGCGTGTGACTAACCTTCCTCATCAACAGGTAGTGCCACTTTCTCAGATTTCGTAGCCAACTCCATTTCGACGAGATGTGGCATCAGAACACAAGCCATCATGATCCAAAATATCGACAACCCCGTCATTCTCGCGAATCTGAAAATACAGTAAACCAGATAAAGGAACATTTCGAATTGGAGTCTAGCAAAAATGACAGCAAAATGGCAGGTGAGTCAGAAAGAATTGTAGGCAGAATTGATGTATAATCCTTCATTTTTCACCACTAATCTACAACACACAGTGGCATTCGTCGTGATTAGCGAAATGCAGTAGAGATTTGTCATATGTGTGACTGTGTGAAACAGAATTCAGCTAGTGTGTTCGGTGAGATGCATGGAGAAGTGACTCGTTAGACATGGGTGTCAGGATAAAGTGTGAAATCCGACTGTTTAACTTACAATTTGTTTGTCGATTACTGATGAGTTGAATAATGTTCCACTCATGCATGCATTTATATATGCATGTAAACGTGGGTTTTCTGTCAAGTAACTAGTTAAGTGGTCGGCTTTGTCACGTGAATCGATTCTACCTGTCAGTAAGTGGGTAGGGAAGTGTAAATCTAGAAAATTCAGATCACCATTTAGGATTGATTGACCTTGATGTAATCTTCCCTGATAAAAGTACAAGAAATTTGGATAAATCAGCTACCCTATACATTGTATCTTATGTTTTGTACTGTATCGGGTTAAATCGTGAAACTTTCAACACTTATGGCGCTGACTTAAGCATGAACTCTGTGTGTTTGTTTAAATTCTTGATTGCCACTCTGCCTACTTTGTGAGGTTCTAGTTGATCTGCTTATTTCTTCAATACTGCATTGAACCAAATAATCATAATGTGTAATTAAGTAGAAACTACCTTGAGTAAGAAACTACCTCCTTTACCTACCTAGGAAGCATCGTTTCAACTACAGGCGGAACTGACGAAGATATCAAAGCAAGGATCAGGAAAGCAAGGCAAGCTTTCATTACTCTCAAGTCTGTGTGGAGGTCAACAGCACACCTAAGAATGAAAAATAAGGTCCGGATTTTCAATTACAATGTGAAGACAGTGTCACTTTATGGATCAGAGACTTAGCGCGTCATGGAGAGCACCTCAAACAAACTACAGACCTTATTGAACAACTGTCTACGCTCAATGCTCAAGATCAGATGGCCAGAAAAGACCAGCAACAGGGATCTCTAGGATTAAATCAACCAGGAACCGATTGTAAAACGAATAGGCAAGAAGAAATGGAGGTGGATTGGTCATACTCTGAAGAAACCATTAAGGGACATCACTAGGCAAGCCCTCGAGTGGAACCCGAAAGGGAGGCGGCGAGTTGGTCGTCAGTGCAAGGGTGACTTGGAGAAGGTCATGTGAAGAGGAGATGAGAGCATGTGGGCAGACGTGGAGCCAGGTGAAAACGTTGGCAGAGAACCGAACGCAATGGAGATGCGCGGCTAAAGCCCTATGTTCCTCTAGGAATTAAAGGAAATAATAATAATAAAGTAGACATTTTGGTGTGAATCAGTTTTAATTGACTTCTATGCTGACTGATATTTCTACGCGTTTCCATTTGTTTTCTAATATTTCATCAACCGTTATTTGACAATTTCTGATAAAATCCTACCCTCATTCAGTTATATCTAGACACGAATTGATTTTTTAATTCAATTTAAAATCTTCCCGTCGATTGATTTGACTGAAGTGTTCGGTTTCTGGCTGACATGTCGGCTTCTTGTGCAGATGTTTCGATGATGTCTGGGCATGCAATTAGAAGTTAATTGGTGGATAGTGACTAGCAGGGGAATTCAGGATGCGCATTTCGTCCTATGTGGGACTCGTCAACTGAATGTATCCGTACTCCTCAGTGAGTGATGATGTTCCCACCGAGGCTCGAACCCAGTGCCCGTGGTTTCAAACGTCAAAGCATTATTCACTGGACCACTCGGGTCACGACAGCCATCTCTTGTGGCTAGGTAGCGACACCATCACTCACTGAGGAATGCAGGTTCACCCAGTGACGAGTCCCAAACAGGACGAAATCCGTTTCCTGGATTCCACTGCTAGTCATCATCCACCAATTAGCTAGTTGATTTTGTTGTTTACTGCTGCATTATGAATGGGGCTGTCTGTAGTATAATGCTGAATAATGTAGGATGGTTATTTTACACTGAATTGTTCTTCCGATTTTCATCTCCCTGATGCTTACATTGACAAGTTCTCAAGTATGTCGTTGCATTCCATTTCACTGTATGCAACAGGGGTGATTAAGAATTATCTTATTTACAACCTGAGAAACTTTGAGTTAATTGCAGACGATGACATTTTCATAACGATATTAGAGTGATGATGTGAAGAGAATATGGAGGGTGTTTCGGTGGTTAAATTCTCCAGTGACAATGACAAAAGTAAGAGAATGTGAAGAAAGATGAAGAAGAGATTAACGGAAGGAAAATTTCATGAATCATCAAGACCCTCAATCAGTTCTGATCACAGACTCACACGCATACACATACAAAGAAAGTTGGGATTAACAGTACACTACTTCAAGCACATATAAGAATATATCACACGGAATCGGGTACACTTCTCATCTATTCGATGAGAAGGAAAACATACATGAAGGTGGCTGACTGTCTAGCATTTATTATTTTTATACATACATCGCTTCATTTTTTTCAATAATTCTACAATTATACTCATTGGTTTATGCGTCGGTGGCATAGCTGTTAGGATGCTCGCCTACCATGCACATGGTCCGGGATTCGATCCCCAATCGGAACACTCCTTTACCTCGCTAAGCCAGAAATAATGCTATCAGCCCCATCCTGTAAAATAAACAATGCCACAGAAACGTCAAGCCACTAGCTTGAAGCCCTATGTTCCACAGGGGAACGTCACGGAAAAAAAACAAAAAAGACCCGTCGCTTCAGTTTAACACTCTCCAAGCTTTGACAGTTAGTTGACTCCTCACAAAAATACCGACATATTTTTTCTTATTATTATTATTCTCCTCCTCCTTAGCGTGATTCGTCACTCCAGCCCTCTTACCACTCCTCTCTACATAGCGAAGAACACAGATAATGAGAGTTTGAGAAACATATTTCACTGCAAGAATATGTAAAGACATTTAGAACACAAATCAACCCATCTTTGGTTAAGTCTCTTATTTGTGATTACTCTTTATATACGTTTTACGTGTTTCACTCTGATAGGATTTTCCCTGAGCCTGGATGTCTGCATTATACTGCTTTAGAATTCAATGTAAGTGGATTCGATCAATAATAATATGTAAAGAGCACGTTCTAGATGCGTAAATAACAGAATTGTCGACAATGATGAGAGCATAAGAAATGTAGTATACTGGTGCGTGAATAGGAATCTCCACAATGACAAACAACCATCATTCGCATTCTATTATATAGAGGCTGACATAGAGTTCTTCGTATCGCTCAAAATTTCCATCCTACATAATCATGATCAAGGAATAACTGTCATCAGTATCATGTTTCAAATCTTCACAAGGCTTAACACAATCCAAACCTAATGGAGCATATTTGTCGCTCAGGCGGATGATTTTGACGCAGTTAGGTTCTCTGAGCCGGTCGATTTATTTGCGAAGTTTTCATTGCCCTGCTGGGCAATATCTTCAGCTCATACTTCATTTTGAAGTAGGGCAATGAAAGCTTCGCGAAAACACCATCCAGCTCAGAGAACACAGCTTCATCAAAAACAATCCAAATCATATATTATATCCTCTCCGTTATGGAATGGCATTTGCAGAATTGATTCACACGTGATGTGTGTAACAGTTAACTGTATGACATTACTGAACTGAATGCATTTGTGATATAATCAACTACACATCCGCGCATATGAATACGTGATAACGAACTCAATCAAATCAAATCAAGCCCTTTCAATAAATCAATCAATTAATCACCCATGGAATCACATGCACATAATCTCTGTATCCCGCACAACCTCCTCACTGGTGCAGTCAAAGATTGGCAAGTACCTCCAACTGTGTATAACAATTCATATGTATCTGCTGGAGCAGTTACATTGGAAGAACAGAGAGGAGGGCCTACGTCGGATTCTGCGAACATGTACCAAGGAGCCTCAGGTTAAAAGGACCGAATTTCCTAAGCTCTTCAATCACCGCCAAACACCTGATTGACACTAGACACCGAGTAGATATGCTGGAATCATTCAAAAATAATTAACAGACAAAGTACCACAAGTCTTCTCAGGTTTGCTGAAGCTATACCAACAAAACGATTGAAGCTTGACTTATGTGTTCAGAAAGAATCCGTTGTTGGACTTCAATTACCCTCGTGACTCACCTCTTAATAACTATTTGTTTTCTAATTTTGTTAATTTTGTTAACTTATCTTTTCACTTCACCCCACCCCCTTTATTTTTCTCTTGACTCTCCTAAGAGATAATTTTTCTTGATCTTCTGAGTTCTGCTCACTGTACTACATCATCACCTTCTCATCTGACCTAATGTTCACCGAAATTTTAAAATTTTGATCTTCTCTTATCTAATTATGTAACTATTACTGATCGTCTTTTGTTATCACCCCAAAAACACAACTGTTAGTTAATTTTTTTTCAAGAAACTTCTCTCTAACAGGATATATATATGTCGTAACACTTTAGAGACCCTGTAAATCGCAACGCCTTGTGACGCTCTGACAATAGGCTTGCTAATGGACAAAGGTTGTACGCAACTGATGAGAACCAACGAAATAAAAATGGGTGCAGATTATTCGGTGCCAATGTCTCTTCTTTCTTTGTTCACATGCACATAAACCTACAACAGCAGAATCCCTCATCACTGATACACTACATGTCATTTGATGGAGGCGAAGTACATAACCCCCCAAATAATATTATGAATTACTTGGGATACACAGTGACAGAAAGAAGAAACTGCAAAACTATTCACCTAATTCATTTAACTGCGAACACCTGGAGTCATATCAGTCTCAGACTTCGTGAAAATACAGGCGCATAAAATCGGAAAAAGTTTCACTCGAAGAAAGCAATTATCTTCTCGATTTTGCTG